CTAATAATAATCCATGTTTGATAGCTAACTCATTGAATTCGAGAAATACTATTTTAATCAAAGTCAACGTTGAAATCAAGGTCACTTATGTGTACCATGAACACTGGGAAATTCGTATCAGGAATAACGAAAATGATTCCAGAATTTTATTACAAAAAATCGTCTGGAAGAGTTATTAATTTTTCAGAATAACGCTCCGTGTCATGTTTCACGAGAGGTTAGTAAATTGATTTAGTTAAGGAGTCTGGTTCACTTATTATTTGCTTTTAGACTTCAGAAAAGATGCGTGGCTCTGAGGACCAGTTCATACAACTTTCCCCTAATTGCCCGGATCTCAATGTGATTGAATATATGTTGTCTGTTTTGAAGAGAGAGGTCAATAAGCTACTTGGACATTGGACATTGGAGGCAAAAGTTCGATACGTAATGGAGCACAAAATAGAAAATGACTTCATAACAAAGTTGGTGGATTCGATGCCGAACAGACTCGAAAAAGTTCTAAAGAATAAAGGCAGACCAATCGACCATTAGTGTACACAAACTTTACATCTTAATTATTATAAATGTTAACTTGTTGTAAATAAAAACAGTTCCATTCTCTTTAGTTACATCTTAACTTATTATGGTCTAGGTCAACCGCTACTGACGAAATGGGAGTATCCGCTACATTCTGAACCAATCCATCTGCTGAGTATAAAGGAATCAGGAAAATCACGTCTATACAGAATCACCAAGGCTTGTTTATTATTATTTGGAAAAACATTTACTTAGGTAAAAATGTTGTTGCCCATACGAAGCGACAAGTATTCCACATGAACCCGTTGCTTCAGTTTTGATTAGACCTGTATACACCTGAAGAGATAGAGAGAGATTTTTCCGGAATTAAATTGTGCATTACTCTGCTACTGTTTTCTTTATTCAAGTATCTGTCGGAAAAGTTTGTTACAAGAACCACAAAGCTAAAAATACGTTGCAGAGTCACATTATTCCCTTTGTCGGAATCTCTGATCTGTTTGGATTTGAAAAGTTGAGATCGTTAATCTAATTTGAAACCCCTTCCACAATGCTAATATCACTTTCTTTCACAGAATGCGGGTGCATACCAGCTTATACCGCATACTCATCTTGCTGACATACGGTACAAGACAGAGAAATCGATACAACAGTTATATTGTTCAACATTCCTCTCTATTCACAACTTGTATCGTCCCGTCCCGTTAATCTATCACCGCAAGATGTGAACTTTGTTTTAACTATTAGCTCTGTCGGTTTGGAATAGTTTTGTGCCGGAACAAAAAAAGCGATGGGGTTGTTCTGTCGCCAATGAACAACCAGTGTGATGATATCGATCCGGTTCGTTGATACTTCCACGCGATTGCCCTGGTAATTGAATTTAAGGATTTTATGTTCCAATTCAATCCGGGGAACTGTTAGTAGTCACTGTCCCAGAAAGAAAAGCTTTAATCTAAATATTGGGGTAGTATCAGGGTAATACACTTATTTTTATTTTTATTGAATATACAAAGATACAATTTTTACAGAAAGGGGGAAGCGACCAATGAAAGGGCTACCGTTCAACACACAATGGGGAAATTCAGGCGGTGGTGGTGGGATTCGAACGCAAATCCCCGGGGTGATAATTTGGTGACGTTACCAACGGGCTACCGCCCACGACATGGGGGATCAACTTATCCACAGTTTCCGACAACATTCGGAAACATGCTTACTTTTCTACTTGACTGCATCATCCAATTCCGATCTTGTTTTAATCAGTTCCATAATTCCCTTATGCGGGATAAAGAAGTCTCTTGAGGAATTGCAAATCCATGACTTGCTACTATCTCCTGTTTGCAGTTTAGCTGAACAGTTAATGGTCTATTGCCAGTTAATAATATATTAGTAATACGTTTGAAAATCCTTACTCCTAAACGACTATTCAATTGAGAAACTTACACTAGGTAATCATCCCATCTTCCCCTTTTTCTTTCCACATAGGATTTCAAAAATTGAGGAATTATGGGGCCGAGTAAGAATCGAAAACAGAGTACCTTCTACAGTTTTCCATGTGTGAGTGCTTGTGATGTACGCGCCCGATCCACCGCAAACATTCACTCGTTCGAAGATAAGGTCCAGTTGAAAATGACATCGGATAAGAATCTGTTAAACCCGTCCGGTTCCACAAATCATCTATCAACAGCGCACATATCTTCCTACGGGAATAGACGTGCCAAGTCCCAAATGTTATTGAACAGCAAGGGAGACCCGATTCGACACATGCCCAGTCACATTATGCCGGAACTACTGTACGATTTGAGTCGGACAGGAAGTCACATCAGTCTGGATTTGACTTCTTCCTCGGATGAGGAATTTGGCTCACAACGATCCGTGGTCAAACCAAACGCACCCAAAGTGATTATTTTGAATGCGGAGAAAAAAAAGACGCATTCGAAAGACAAACCAACCACGGAGCCTGTAAGCAGGAAAACAGTTTCGAAACCGGATCAAGAAATTCACTCAACCTATCGTGTGCTCATCCCGAAACAGCCTCAGATGGTTAAAAGATCTTCCATGCACACACCACAAGATAAAGATTTTAGCAGCACCAACTCCCTGCCCAGTCGATGTCAGTCAAGACCGCAATCGAGTAGTATTCTCTTAAACAAGATTGTACCTCCGGGGTCAGCAGAAAATTTTATGCAAGATGCCACTTATGACCTCAGTCGGGATGAATATGATCCGTATGGACTGGTTCGGAGAAATTTTCGCAATTGGTTTGGTGAAAGCATCTACACGAACCCGATCGGGGGAGCAAATGAGTCGAGAACCTCGTCCGGTCAGTTCTCTCTCAGTTCTTGTCAAAGTGCTCCGTCTCCGTGGACCATTCCACGCGCGTTTGATCGACGCAGACGCCGTAATGGGGTTCGATCGAATCTCATCACTGAGGTCGCGGTTCTTTGACTACACGCACACACACACACACACACACATGTTTACATAACGTGATTCCAATTAAAAAAAATTCCTCACGTGATTGTAAATATTATTTCGAAAAGCTTGTCGTCATCGTCCTCACCATCTTTTTTGTACAGTTCCTTTATGCAATTTTTGGACACGGTGCTGCAGGGAGGAATAAAGGCAAACATCGACATGTGCTATCATCATTTTGTTAAGTTGACAACCTCATCCTCCATGATTCGACTCATCCATTTGAATAAGATTATGTCACCCCGATCTGAATATGCCGCGCATTTCGACCTTCATCCAAACTGCGTTTGTATGTATTTTTGCGCTGTGACTCGTTCGCTACCTTGTTCTTTCAAACACCATGCACGGTTTCATTAAATCACTTCATAATTTTTGTTGTGCGTTCAAAAGACTCTGACATACATTCTTATTCATTTTTTACATGTATTTCGTTTCTTCTCTTTCATCACTCTTGAGGCCCATGGATAATTTAGAACTGGACTGAGACTCATTTTGTGCCATACATGTCTCCATTCATATAATTACAGTGCGATTTTCATTGGTTTCTCTTGTGATACGTACACATGAGTACACAAGCGCAATTTTTGCATTAAAGGTGTATTTCTTTCTCAAAAGTGTTGCTG